CCGCCGTTGCGACACTGGGCCCGCCCCAGCCGGCGGCGAGGGGCGCGGGGAGGTCATATGACCCGGAGCGGAGCCGCGCAGGAAATTCGAGCGGAGCTGCTGGCTGGAGGGCGCTGACACGGAGTCCCCTGCCCCAGGGCCCGACTACAGAGCCCCCCAGTCCTGGCTACCCTGTGTCTGCCCTTGTCACACCCACTAACAGAGGGGAAACGGAGGCTGGGAGGAAGCCCCTTCTTGCCTCCTGCATGCTCTCGGCGCCTGGCTCCCGGCCAGATGCAGCACCCACCGCTGAGACTCGGGATGCCGTCGGGGTGTGGTTTGGGCACCTTCTTGCCTGGACCTTGCCACTACCCTGGAGTAACTTTGCTCAGGACGGCAGACGACGTCTGGGCTCAGGAAGTGTGGGCCTCACGGCCACCTGGTACTGAAGGTGGTTTTCGCAGTGACGGTGCTGCTTGAGAGTGGAGGCCCAAGTCCAGCCTCCGAGGGGACGCAGCCTAGGACGGTGTGGAGCACCTGGGGCCAGGGCCCTCCAGCACCCGGGCAGGCCGAGGTGGCCTGTGTGTGAGCTCAGTGCCCCAGGCTCTGACTAGGTGCACCCTCAGTGGCCCATGAGGCTGTGCTATCACGGTCTCCGCCATACAGGTGAGGAAGCTGAGGCAGAGAGGTTCTGATAAAGGTCTGACCCTGGCAGCCTGGTGGACAGACTTCAGCCTTCCTGGAGAGCAGGGGACTGCTTGTCCTCCCTTGGCTGCAGGGCTGAGACAGGAACATCTCCATGCCACTGCCCCCCCAGGGCCTGTCCCAGAAATGCTGTTCTGCCCAGGGCGACCAGGTTGGGCCCTGCCAAGGCTAGAAGTGTGCCCATGAGGCAGGCGGTTAACAGTCCTGCTGTGGTTGAGGTTGCTAGGAAGGGGAGCCCTGCTCCCTCGAAGGCTGCAGCCCTGGCCAGCTTTCCAGGGCACCACTGAGCTGGGCCTCCTGCCAGCAGCCGTGGGCGGTGGGCACAGCTGCCACTTCCTCTCCATTTTCTTCACACCAGCACTGAGAAGTCACAGCAACAGCAGAACCAGGGTTCCAGCCCCCACCTCCTACCATGCCTGCCCCTCAGAGGGTCCAGGATCTGGAAGTGGGGGCTAAAGCATAGAGACCCCTGCAGGTGAAGTGCACAGTCCAGTTGTGTTCTCGTGTGTGTGTGTGTGTGTGTGTGTGTGTGTGTGCGCGCGCGTGCGCGTGCACTGGGGATGAGGCTCAGGGCCCTCTGGACCCGGTCCACCCCTGCCAGTCCCCAGTCCTGGGCAGAACAGCCCCAAAGGCTCTGGGGCCCAGGGGCTGTCGCACACATCCACATGTGTTCTCAGGAAGGGTCCAAGGAGAAGGAATCGGACAGCTGCAAGGCCAGGCCGAGCCCGGGAGGCAGGGGACAGGGCCAGGCCACAGCGCACTCAGCGAGATGACTGGAGGCTGGGTCCCATCCACAAGCCGGGGCCAGCAGCAGAGCTGCCCTCTCACCTACCGGGCCAGGCAGGCGTCTCTGTGACTCAGCAAAATCCTCCTCTCTCTGCCCCTCCCAAGCATGACACAGCAGAATGCAGCAGCTGCGTGGTGGAAATGTGACTCAGCACTGGCGCTGGAAAACAGAAGTGGTTTGGGCTGTGAGAGGGGCGGGGCTGTGCTCCCAGCCTCGCTTACTCTGGGTGGAAAACAAGGGCCTCAGCCCAGGGGGGACTAGGACCTGCTGGGCAGGGCGAGGGGGGCGGTCCTGCGACAGCCACACCACCTGCACCCTGAGAGGACCAGGCTTGGCGTAGACCCGGCCACAGGGGCCCCACGGCTGGACAGGACAGCCAAGACACGGTGGGTTCATGATGCAGCAGACCTCAGAGGCAGAAGTCCCACCAAAAGGGCTCCAGATGGCACCCAGGAAGCAGGGGCCAGTCACCCCTCTTCATCAGTCTGCCACTGGGAGAAGGCAGAGATCCTGGCTGCCCCAGCAATGACACCTTCAGCAGCCCCACAGCCTCAGGACCAAGGGCAGCTCAGGTCCTGGCCGCTGGGGCCTGGCTCAGTCTGTGCAGGCCTAGAACAGACACAGATGCACACGAAAAAGCTAACCCCAGACTTAATTAAAATTAAAATCTCTTAAATATACTGTTACAGAAAACAAGTAAACCAGAGACTAGGGGAAAATATTTGAAAAACATATGTCCAACAGTCAGGTATAGAAGCCCCTGGCTGTGGTCCTAGCACTCTGGATGCTGAGGCAGGAGGATCACCATGAGTTCAGGACAGCCTGGGCTACATAGTGAGTTCAAGATCAGCCTGGACTACACAGTGAGACCCTGTCTAAAGAAAAAAAAAAGAAGAAAAACCCAAAATCCAGGTCAAAATTGTGAGCACACATTTCCTCAAAGGAGATGTAGGAGAGGAAACCAGGCAAATAACACCTGTTCACCGCATTGGCCACTAAAGGGATGCACGTTAAAAACACAGGAGAGGGCCGGTAGGGATTTAGCTCAGTAGTTCTGCCACCTGCCTTGCAAGCGCTAGGACCCGAGTTTGATCCCTAGTACCAAAAACAAACAAATAAAAACCCACAGGAGACAACTATTGCCACACCTATTCAAGAAGCTAAGATGGTGCCGGGGATTTAGCTCAGTGGTTCTGCTGCCTGCCTCGAAAGCACAAGGACCTGAGTTTGATCCCCAGTAGCAAAAAAAAAAGAAGCTAAGACTGGAGGGACAGATAGGCTTGCAGGGCAGTGCTGCACATCTATTCCAGCTGTCCAGCTCTTCAAAAGGCTGAAGCAGGAGGATCAAGTGTCCTGCGTTCTGAGCCACGCATGATGGTATGCCCCTATAATCCCGGCACTTGGGAGGTGGGGGCAGGAGGATCACTAGGAGTTCAAGGCCAGCAAGACTGAAAACGAAACAACATAGAACAAAACAAAGCAAAACAAAAAAATGTTGAAGGCCAGCCAGGGGCAAATAGAAAGATACCAACTCAAAATACAAAACAAGAGGGCCAGGATGTAGTTCAGTGGCCCTGTGCCTGCCTGGCAAGCAGAAGGTCCTTAGTTCAATCCCTGGTACCAGCCTAGCACGTTCAAGACCCCAAGCACCACACACACACACACTGGTGCAGCCCCAGTAGGACAGCCACCCTGAGATGTGCCCCCTTTGGTACAAGGGTTATTTGGAGCTGCAGACCAGGGAGAAACAACAGATCCCACAAGCTCTAGGGCCTTCCATGTGCCATCCCCAGGAGAGAGGCCCTGCCCAGGGACCCGAAGCACCTGGCTCTGCTGGTGCCCCCACAGGCCACCCACTTGGCTTCTCTCACTGTAGCCTTGGACACAGCACTATTCCACTGCTTGCCAGTTGTTTCTCTTTTAATTGTTCATTGATTGATTAATTATACTACTGGGGATGGACCCCAAGGCCTTCATGCTGAGCTACATCCCTAGCAGGTTTTGGGTTGGGTTTTTTTGGTGGGGGGTTAAGACAGGGTTTCGATGTGCAGCCTAGGTTGACCTTCAATTCACAGCCATCCTCCCGCCTCAGCCTCCCAGGTACTGAGATCACAGGCCTGTGCCACCATGCCTGACTCCTGGCTGTTCTTTATTTACTTTGGTTTGTTTTTTGGATGCATGGTCTCAGCCCAGGCAGGATTTGAACTTGGGATACTCCTGCCTCCGCCTCCAGAATGCTGACTATAGGTGTGTGTGGGGATCATGAGTATTGGTTGTAAGCATTGTTAACTCTAGTAACTCCATATGTGTTAAGTTTCTCCAGTTTAGCAGGTAGAGTGTTTCCTTTGTGGAATTCCTGAAAGTTACAGTTTCTTGTCTCTGACCTTTAGATGTGTGGTTGTCCGGGTTACTACTACTCACGGTGGGTTGTTTTGGTGAACCTGTTTGCTCTTTTCCTGTGTGACCTTTCAGTTACTATGGTAAACCCATCCCATAATAGTTTGTGGTTTTTT